CTGCTGCCCCGTCCCTTCCTCCCTTCCCGTATTACCTCCTCCTTGTCTTGTCCTTCTCTTGCCTCTTCCTCCTCGTCCTCGTCCTCCTCTCTTCCTCCTCCTCCTCCTCTCTTCCTGCTTCTCCTGCTCGTGCTCATGATCTTCTCAACCCGCTGCAGGAGTCGTCGAGTTCATCTTTGCAACGCAGTGCGAGCTAGATGAGAACTTCACGAAGCTGGAGCTGCTAGGGTCGGACGACGACTTCGAGGGGAACCAAGTGCTGCAGACAGCAGCGAGAGCGAAGAAGACTCAGTTCCTTGACGCTCAAGCTGGAGGAGGAGGAGGAGGGGGGGGGGAGGGGGGAAGGAGGCGAGGGCAGCAAAGTTCCTCACCATCAGAAGCTAGCTTCAGCGGCATGGACTCAAGAGTTCTTTTGCTGTCCTCCGGGGATACTTCGAGGAGGAAGACGGAGATGCCTCCTCGCGCTTGAGCGTCAAGGAACTGAGTCTTCTTCGCTCTCGCTGCTGTCTGCAGCACTTGGTTCCCCTCGAAGTCGTCGTCCGACCCTAGCAGCTCCAGCTTCGTGAAGTTCTCATCTAGCTCGCACTGCGTTGCAAAGATGAACTCGACGACTCCTGCAGCGGGTTGAGAAGATCATGAGCACGAGCAGGAGAAGCAGGAAGAGAGGAGGAGGAGGAGGAAGAGAGGAGGACGAGGACGAGGAGGAAGAGGCAAGAGAAGGACAAAGACAAGGAGGAGGTAATACGGGAAGGAGGAAGGGACGGGGCAGCAGCGGGAGGCCAGACCTTCTTGGTTGTGGACGGGAGCAAGGCTAAGCTTCTTCTTGTATGTGGTCCCATCCTTGCGGTAGTTGAGGATCTCGAAGTATCCTTCCTGCCCCTTGCAGATGCTGGAGCGAATCTGACAAGAGGAGGACCATGAGGGGAATGAGAGAAGGAAAGAGGAGGGGGGCAGGGACAACGGAAGTTGAGAGAACAGGGAGTGGAGAGGCGAGGCGAGGAAGGAAGGGGAGAGAAACAAAGATAGGCGGAAAGGGAATGAGACTTAGAAGGACTGATGACCTGAGCGATGGTCTCGTTGTTGGTCTCGGGGCCATGAAGGGAGCTGATGTCTTTTCCTGTCCCCAAGGGTGAGTGGCTACTGAAGAAGCACAAGGGAGCGCGAGGAAGTGAAAGCGGTGGAGCGGAGCAGAGGGGAGGGGAGAGGAGAAGAGAGGAGGAGAGAACAGAAGAGAAAGGAGGGGAGGGGAGAGGAGGGCAGAACAGAGGAGAGGGGAGGAGAAGAAATAAAAAGTTGACCGATGATCTCCTCGCGTTTGTATCCTGTCGCCTCTAGAAACCCATCGGACGCGAACACAAGTGAGTGCCGTCCCTCCTCGCAGTGCGGGTCGATCATGAAAAAGTTCGCGTCAAGCGCATGTAGCGCTGCCTCCACCGGCGTCGGCTTCCCCTGCCATGCATGTCACCACTAGCACCAGCGGCCGCCACCTGCTCACTGTTGAGATGCCCAGGAGCTCGTTGATGATCGCTGCATTCTCCTCCACCGACCGACCGGTCACGTCGATCACCGACCACTCAGGATGCTGGCTGTAGAGATCTGCCCTCCTCGTCAGTTGACTCGCTGCCGGGACGGAGAGTCGCACCCTTGGACCAGGCTAGCTCGGCGTTGATGTACTTCATGTTGTCGTAGTCGAAGCTTCCCTCGTTGCCGCTCATGGCGCTCGTGTCGTGCTGCAGGCCAGCAGGTCAGCATCCAGCTCCTCCCTAACAGGAGAGGGGGGAAAGAGAAGGGAGGACAAAGCAAGAAAACGCGGCGATAAGGGAGGAGGGAGGGAGAGAGGGATGGGGATGAGAAAAGGAAGCAAGGGAGAGAAGCAAGTAACAAGGGAAGAGAGAAAGAGTGACCGCGGTCTCCGCTAGTCGTCGACTTCTTATTCTCTTCAAATATGGTCCTGCAATAGTGAGCCCGAAGACTCGGCGGGGATCCACCTGGGGAGGAAGTCATTCATACTCCATCGGTAGCCACCTCACCTCCAGCAGCTCCTTGGGAAGCGGCATGTCCTTGATGATGGGGATGTTCGCTACCTGGGCATGGAGGGTGAGGCAAGAGCTGCGAGCGGCAAGGCAGGACGCACTCGGTAGCCGAACTGCTGCGCCAGGTAGACAGAGAGGGGAGTCTTGCTGCTCCTCGATACGCCGAGCAGCACGACGTCGGCCTTGCCGAGGTTGGAAGGAAGGTTTCCGTCGTCCTGCACGGGCTCAGCCAAAAATGCCCTTCTTCTCTTCCTCCTTTCGTTCATCCTGCTACCTCCTGCCCCGCACCCCTTCCCTTATCCTTGTACCCGTCCTCCTACCTCCCTCCTCCCTCCATCTTCGCTCCTCGCTCCTCGCACCTCGCTCCTCCCCTCCCTCCTCCTGTCCTTCCTTCTCCTCTCCACCTGTCGTATCGTAAACTCCACGGCTGCGATCCGACTGAAGTACTTGTCGCTCAGCGGCTTCCTCTTCACGTTGGTGGACCCCCTGGAGAGCGTCAGAAAAGGCTGACGGAGCGCGGGGTCACCTCGGCTCGCCCGAAGGATGCATGCCAAGGAAGCCTGCGATGTTCCTCACCATGGGCCCCAGCATGTCCTCGCACGGCACGTTGAGGGAGTAACAGTAAGACACCATCTGCTCGTTGAGCTCGGGCGTCATGAGCGTGTACACGATGAAAGCTTTCATGGTCGCCGCCAGCCGCACGATCCTCGTCAGCCTGACCTTGTCGTTGACGTTGCTGAACATCTGAGTCCGCACCTCCAACTGCGAGGTGTTGAACACGTCGCTGTCCCCCGCCCAGTCCACCGACACCGACTCGAACTGCGCCATGACGCTGGTGAGGGCGTGCGAGGCCGTGAAACCGGTGCTGTCCGATACGATGTAGATGTACCTCGCGCTCCTGATCTGTTGCATGCAGTCCAGCCCGAACCTCTTGGAGGACGGTCGAACAGCACAGACCGTGTCGGAGTAGGAGCGGACCAGGGTCTCGTTGAAGCGGAACGTGGTCTCCTGGCCATCGTTCTCCTTCTCTCGCCTCCTCAAGCTCATATCGCAGGCTGAGTAGGAATGCTGCACCACCGTCTGCAGCCCTGCGGACTTGGAGGACGAGGATTCCGCAACCTGCTCCCCCCCCGCACCTCCTTCCCCTTCCTCATTCAAGCCAACCTGGGCAGTGGCTGGTTTTTCCTCCGTCGCTGCCCCTGCTGCCGCTGCTTCCGCTGCATCATCCCCTGCCGGGGACTCGGCGACTTCAGCTGGTCTTAGCGGCAACGTGCCTCCGAACCTTCCTCCTACTTTCCTCCCGAAGATGCCGCCACCTCTCAATGCCAGAGCCCGCGGGTACGCCCCGACCCCCCGTGAAACCCCGACAAAACCGAGGCAAAGGACGGTGAGGAGGAGCGTGATTTTCGATGACATGTCAAGGCAGTGGGAGGGATCAGCAGCTGCATGACATCTTCAAACGTTCGTCATTGTGCTCCATCCGAGCCACGTAGACAGTGGGATATCATCTGCAGAAGAATGAGCAACGTGAAGCTTGTGATCCTTTCAGGTCCTCATCTTCCTCCTCCGACTTGACCTCCTCATCTCACCTCCTCCTTCCGCTCTGCTCAGTGCTTCTGTTCTACATTCTGTTTCCTCCCTCCCTCCTTCCCCTCCCCTCCCCTCCCTCCCCTCTTGTCTCCCGCCTCCCATTATTCGAGGCATCAATCGGGCCAACCCTGATGCAATACTACCCTACCCCCAATTCCAAATAGTACCCCACCATCATCATGACCCTACCCATCTCAGAGTAACTCTCCATCTATCATTTCCCGCTTCCATTACCCCTGATAACCCACTCGTAGCAGGGGGTAATGGAAATGGAGAGGTGGGTGGAAGACATCTATTTTGGACCGGTAGGTACCAAACAAGCACGGGTACCATCACGACCACGGGGTCCACTACAGGGGGTACTTCCGCTAGAAAAGGGGGCGATAGAGCACCTTGCATTTCGAGCAAAAGGGTAGGGTACAAGAATGGGGGGTAGGGTAGTCCAGATAGGTTAACTGCTCGAAGCGTCACCATGGCGAGGGGAAGGTGAGGAGGAGAGAGGCGGAGGCGGAGGCGGGAGAGGGAGGAGGGGATGAGGAGAACTAGATCGATGAAGGGATTCATGTGAGTAGGACTATCTAGATCAGCAGTGAATGAAGGAAGAGCACGAGCAGGAGGTGGATTATGAGAGGACAGCATTTGTTCACCATACATGCCAGAACCTGATTCGAAAGGGAAATGAACGATGTGAAGAGGCAGAGAAGCAAACAAGGAAATGCTATCAGGGTTAACAAAGCTGAGGATCTCATAGCAGAAAGAGATGAGTTTTGATGTCAAGGACGTTGGTAGTTTCAAGTTGGAGGGACGCAGCTCTATTCTTGCTATAGCGAATTCAGGAAACCTGCGTGTGTGCTCTGATATGTTCTCAGGCTGATTGGCCTAGCTGTGGCGATCGCATGCACTTGCTTCGCGGGATCGCTGCTGTTCAGATCTGCCTCGGAGAGCGAGCTGGCAGAGAAGCCCCAAGGGAGGAAGGCCATGTTGGCCGCGGAGCAGAAGCAAGTTTCCCTGGCGGAGAAGCTGATCTCGAAGGAGGGACCCATCGCTGATCAGACTGAGGCAAGTACACAAGTCTTGTTTTTTGTCCTGTGCGAGGCTCGAACTTGATGATGTGGGGTTGTTGGTCGCTGCCCAGGGGTCCTGCTCGCCGTCGTTGCTGTGACAAGTTCCGCAGGACAAGTACGTGGCAGCCAAGTCGAGGCTGGCCTCCTTGCGTTCGAAGCTGAGGGACGACACCAACGTGGCAAAGCATTTGTCTATCGTTGAGAAGCAACGCGCAGCTGGAGTATCCGATGCCATCTCCGACAGAAAGAGCGCGGCGCTGGCTGTCACAAGCCAAGAGGCCACGTTGAAGAAGGCTGAGAGCTTGGCGAAAGATGCTCGTCACTACCAGCGGCTCGCGAGGAATGAGCGCTCCTCGTCAGAGACAGCAGAGGCACAGGGGCTGGCCTTGCAGAAACCTGCGGCTGCCCTCCTCAAGGACTCGCAGAAGCTCAACGATCAGAGCAACCTTGTGCTTGATCAGTCTCACTCGTCCCAGGCCAAGGCCTTGGCCTCCCTCGACCTGAAGTTGGCCCAGTCCCTCGCGGACAGAGCAGCCAAGGGCATGGCCCGTGCTAAGCAAGACTTCGCGTCGGCCATCGATGACCGCAAGACAGCGCTCAAGGATGATGAGGTCGCCTCGAACCGCGTGATGGAGGCAGCCAAGGTTTCGCTGCAGACCAACCCCGAGCAGTCCTCCCTGCTGCGCATTCAGCAAGGCCAACTCACTGGCTCCAAGGCCCTTCAGTCGATCTTGAACATCGACACGAACTCCGTAGGAGCTGCGCAGGAGAAGCTGGGCGAAAGCAGGAAGCAAGTGAAGCTGGCGAAGGAGAGCGAGGGCGACGTTGCCAGGCAGATCCTGGTCCTGGACAAGGAAGCTAAGGCGCTCAGAGCTGAGATCGGGGCAGCTGAGAAAGAAGTCCTGGCTGCTGCCAAGGAGCATCTGCTCGCTGCGAGGAAGTACAAGTCAGCCACTTTGAAGAGTATCTCTGCGCAGTCAAAGATCGAGGCCATGAGGGAGGACGAGGTGCGCAAGCTTCGATCCGAACTTGCGTCGACCAAGCAGTCCAAGGAGGACGCCGGCCAGCGGTACACGCGGGCCCTGCAGAAGATCGCTAAGCTCAACGGGCACCAGACGATCATGAAAGTGCAGATTGCTCGCCTGAAGCTTCAGCTGAAGGAGGAGGAGATGCGAGCACATGACTACAAGGCGAAGAACTCCAAGGACCAGGAGGTCATCAACAACATGCAGGCGCAGCTCGACCGGGAGGATGCCGATCTCAACGAGGCGAAGCTGAAGATTGCTGACTCGAGCTTGGGTCTAGCTGGGGGTCGAGGCGCATCGAGGTGACCTGCTCCCCTGCTGTCTCCCTTGTCTTATTCGGCTGCAGGAGATCGTCTCGAGGAAGGGAGGACGACTATCACTCTCGCGCGCAGGCAACGATCGAAGCGGCGAAGCGAGGTAGGAGGAGCTGGAGGTAGTCGTGTGCTTACACAGTGAGCAGCCGGTTCACACCACAGCTACCGCAACACGCTGGACTTGCAGCGGAGGTGCGGGAGCGACTCGCTGAATCGTTCCAAGACCTGACTGAAGAGCTGCAGGAGAGACGACGAGCTCAGCAGGGAGGAGCAGGCGGCGCGCAGGTGGGACTGTGGTGGTGGAGGTGGTGGAAGAGGAGCCCTGACGGGGCGAGCGCAGGAGGGCGGAGCGAGAGGAGAGGAAGCTCAAGGAAGCGCAGAGTGAAGTCTCAAGGCAGCTGGCCAAGGTGGGAAAGGCGACAGCTGATGAAGTGTTGACCCAGCGATGCAGGTGACGGACGTGGAGTCGAACTTCTAAGGGATCGGCGTCGATACGACAGGGGGAAGGAAGCGGCTGGGAGAGGGGAGAGGAGGAGGAAGGGGAAGACAGCGGGGGAGAGGGAGAGGAGGGAGGGAGGGAAGAAGTCAATGAGTGGGGTCGGCCAATCGAGATGTCCTCAGTCCCGATGGATGCGGGAGGAGGAGGAAGTGGAAGAGACGAGGAGGAGGGCATGAGATGGTTGGCTGTATTTTAATCGAGAAGGTGGAGCATCAGCCCTGCCTTGTGATGATGACGTGGTACCTAGACGCTCCCTCCCTCTTTGCCGCCCCCAGTCGTCTCATGACCCGCAGGCTCTTCTCCATCTCCCGCGCCTGATGCTGCGTGCTGAAGAGCGTGTACATGTTCTGCCCGGCAGGTCAGGATGTTAGAGGGAGAGCAGGACGAAAATGAAGAAGTGCGGGGAGGGAGGAGGACGGAGGAGGAGGAAGGGGAACGAGGAGGAGGAGGAGGGAGAGGGAAGTTACCTGGGGGTTGTCGCGGTAGAATTCGAGAGCTCGCCTGCTCACTGATGATTTCTCTTCTCCTTCCTAGACAACCTCCGCTAACCTCGCTGCATGCCATCCAGTGCCATGGCGGCGACCGATCTTGACCATGAGCTTCTTGTACTCCTGAGGCAGTAGCGAGTGAGGGACGAGGACGAGAGGAGAAGAGAGAACAGGAGCTGGGAAGAGGAGGAGAAAGGGAGAGATGGGAAGAGAGGGACAGAGGGGAAGAGAAGTTGGGGAAGGGAGGGGAGATAGAGGGAGGGAGGGAGAGGGAGGGAGGGAGGAACAGGACTAAGACGAAGTGCCTGGAGGTTCCTCGCAACCGTCAAGGCCGCGAGCATGGCGCCATTGCCGAGGATGAAGCCGGAGGCCAACCGGGAGGCTGTGCGGTTGCCGGGGATGGTGAGGACGGGAACCTTGACGAGCGTCAGGACGAGAAGGGGGAAGAGGAGGAGGAAGGAAGGAGAGAAGAGCGAGAGCATGACGTAGTGTTGGTGGTGGAGAAAGAGGACGAGGACGAGGACGAGGACGAGGACGAGGACGAGGTAATGCTGGTGCTGGTGCTGGTGCTGATGGTGATAGTGATAGAGGAAAAAGAGGAAGAGGAGGAGGAGGAGGAGGAGCAGCAGCAGCAGCTTACTCCCGCCCATAGCACAGTCGGTGTTGTGCTCCCAGCATTATAGAAAGGCGTGTCGAGGAAGAGATCGCAAGCACATAAACGCCTGGCAGTATCCGTGAATGTTGGGGAAAAGGATGAGGACAAAGATAAGGAAAAGATTCTGCAGGAGAAGGGAAAGGAGCAGGAGCAGGAGCAGGAGCAGGAGCAGGAGCAGGAGCAGGAGCAGGAGCAGGAGCAGGAGCAGGAGCAGGAGCAGGAGCAGGAGCAGGAGCAGGAGCAGGAGCAGGAGCAGGAGCAGGAGCAGGAGCAGGAGCAGGAGCAGGAGCAGGAGCAGGAGCATGAACAGGAGCAGGAGGAGCAGGAGCAGGAGCAGGAGCAGGAGCAGGAGCAGCAGCAGGAGCAGGAGCAGGAGCAGGAGCAGGAGCAGGAACAGGAGCAGGAGCAGGAGCGGGAGCAGGAGCAGGAACAGGAGCAGATAGATGCGAACTTATGGAAGGCTTCGTTGCTCTCTGTTCTGTTCAAGAATCTCAATCGCTCCTTTGGAACACCTGAAGCTGTGTGAGGAAAACATTGAGAAAGGGAAGGGAGGACGAGAGAAGCAGGAAGGGGAGGGGAGATAGGAGGAGGTGGCGGACAAGGAGTAACGATGAGGAAGAGGATGAGTAAGAGGAAGAGGGGAGGGGGAGGACGACGCTGAGAAGAGAGAGAGCAGCAGCAGCAGCAGCAGCAGCAGCAGCAGCAGCAGCAGCAGCAGCAGCAGCAGCAAGGCGGGAATCACCTCGCTTCTCCGCCTCCTTCCCCAGGTTCCGCTCCGTATCTCCTACAGGAGGTGTGAGGTCGAGATGTTCCCTCGCCCCTCACTCACTCGACTGGCCCCACAGAGCTAGGAAGGAGTCCTTCACCTCCTCCCGCATCACCTCCATCCACACCTGCAGCCCAGTTGAGTTGGAAGGAGAGCAGAGAAGGGGGAAAGGATGATGGGACATGGGAAGGGACGGAGGAGGGAGGAAGGGAGAAAGGGAGGGAGCGAAGGAGGAGAAAAGAAAGAGATTGCAAGACGGAGAAGGAGGATGGAGGAGGAATCCTATGGTAGGAGCAAGGAGGAGAGGACAGCAGGCAGCAGGCAGCAGGCAGCAGGCGGCAGGCGGCAGGCGGCAGGCGGCAGGCGGCAGGCGGCAGGCGGCAGGCAGGCAGCAGGCAGGAGGAGGAGGGAAGTTGAGGAGCCAGCGGTCACGTTCATCACGGTCTTGTCGATCTTCCAAGTTTGCAGGAAATTGCAGAAGAGAGTAACGTTGCTGGGAATGTCGAGTGACCTTCTGATCTCTTGGGACGCGTCTTTACAGCTGCTCACCCCGTCAGCAGCGCCTCCCCGTCCCACCTCGCACTCTCACCGACGATGAATCTCGTCCTCCGTGCAGCGGCACC